TTATTTATTTATCTATCTACTTCAGTAGGAAGAAATTTTGTCTCCATGCATGTTGTATTAGCTCAATTGTCGATAATATAACTTTAGATTCTTTCAGGTGGATCTATTTTTTCCCTTTGCATAATATTTATTAGGTTTCTTTACTTCTCTCTCTCTCTGTCTCTCTCTCTCTCTCTTTCTTTTTTCTACAGGGAAACCCTATCCTGGGAGTTCATATATATTTATATTCTGATGATGTTGTCGAGGTATATTGCCCCCAAGGGTCTGGGAATGCCCCTGGTGAAAGAAAAGCTCTCTGCCACACCGTGTCTGATGCTGACGGAATATTTGTTTTTGAATCGATTCCCTGTGGTAATTTTCATCGTTTACCTCTTCACATAAACTTATCACATGCACCAGTTGTAGTTCTTTCAGTAAATTCCTTGAACAGTTAGGTACCTTTTCAGTTCATTAACCCTGTGGAAAAAGTATGCTGAACTTTCTCAAAGGAATTGAAATAGGTTTTTATGGTTTGGTTGCCTCATTTTGGAGTTGCAGATCTTTTTGACAAGAAAAGTTAGTGTCTTCACAAGGCACCAAGTTGGTGCCAAAAACTCTATATGGTCCAAAAATTGATAGGTTGAGAATTAGTGAGGACATTATGATGGTTGCTATCTTTGTAAATTTGCTTAGCTGTAGGCGACTTTAATATACTCTAACTATTTTCTAATGAAAAATTCGGACCCTGGATTAGATGATTGTTGTCGTGATTTTATAGCTTAGTGTCAGACATAACAATTTCCTCCATAATTATTATGGTTTTATTTGTGCAACGGTGTTCAGGGAAGTATTGGTCTCCACACTTGTAGCAAGTAGCCGTTGCTCTTCTAGGTTTCGTATCTCTTCGGAGCGGTTGATCATAATTTCTTGTTTCAGATAATTCTGCAACTTTAGCCACTTTAATAGGATATGAACATTAGGATAGTTATATAACATACTGTTCTTGAAGTAAAACCTTTTTGAATGCTTGATTAAGAGTTTGTGGTTTGATGAGTCTTAACATGAGTTGTAGTTGTGGCCTGAGACCACTGATAAAGGTGGATATAAAAAATCTTTCTAAAAGCGTTGGGTTTTCTACATGCATGAGAGAACGTAAGTGTTTAAATTATTTTTGGTAGCCGAGAACAGTACCTATTTGAGATAACTTGGTGAACTCTTTTATGAAATCTTTTCGCGATGATTCCTTAAGCTTATAGTAAAGTTCTTCCACGAAATACTCCTAATCTATGACATCAATTTTGGCTTGCCACCCACAGTACCATGTATCAACCACTTCTCCCAAATATAATGATGCGATCTCTACCTTATGCTCGTTAGGAGTGTTGTGGATCATAAAATATTTTTTGCATCTTCAAACTCACCTGCGGGGGTTTATTTCTTATAAAAGTGGAATTTCCACCTTAGGAAGCGAAAAAAATGGGTAGAATTGGTTTCGTGCATAGGATCCATTGGGCCGGTTCGGTTTGGACCAGTTCGAGCCACAACTGGGACCGGTCTGGTTAGACTGGGTCGGGTCAGGTTGGCCCCGGTTCAACTTGGATAAGTTCAGGTCGTTTTTATCCGCTTCATCTCTGGGTCCGGTTCGGTCCATGGAATTGAACTTAAATGAGGGTCGAAACCCTTTTGCAGAACTGTGCACGCTGCTCGAGGCAAAACAGGAGGGTGGGCGGCGCTCAGGAGAGGAAGCCTCCGTCGGCAACTTCGGCCAGTCTTCTGAGGACGTCCTGCGGAGCCATCCCATGATGGTGCTCAATTGTTGGTGGAATTCCCTCTTCATTTCGTATACCTCTTCCATGAAGGAGGTAAGTTTTTGATCGATGTCCTTCATGGTGAGTTCGGGTGTTTTGAGATTTTCTGGTTTGGGCATTATTGCACCCTTTCCTTTCAATCGAGTGCAGGTTGCGACTCCAGCAAAGGATTCGACTGGTTCCTGCTCTGTTACCACCTTGTCAGAAGCCTTCGATATGGCTGTCTGATTTGAAGTAAATGAAGAAGAAAAGAGGAAGAAGAAAGGGAGAAGAAGAAGAGAAGACCGAAGTCGAGAAGAGAAATAGATAGTTAATTTTATTAATTTTTCTGGTGTCCTTACAAGCAATGGAAGAGAGCCCTTTATAGGCCTTAAAGCAATAAAGCAAGCAATATCAGCACCCAGAATCACGCGGCCGTTATGCGCGCAGTGGCAACCGCGAGATGAGATGGTGGCTGCGAAAATGAAGAGATGATTAGGGTTTAATTAATCCTAACCCTAAATGTTACGTAAAAGACTAATTTGCCCTTCTCTTTTTGCTATTTCCCTTGTTTACCATTAATAACTGAACACTTAGAAATTTTTAAAGCACATAACCAAAAGATTTCATCCAATAAAATTTTCCAAGTAGAAAGGTTTGGATTATGTCTTTAATTGGAAAAACATGAGCTTAAGAGGATGTTTGGCTGCCTTTTTTTAAGAGCTTATAAGTTCTTCAAAGGTACAATTAGTAATAGCTGGATTTTTGACCAAACCAAGAGTTGAAGGCTGAAAATATTTCTGTAATAATGAATTAAATGCTGAGAATATTTTAATGTTGATGCTGAGATTATTTTCACATTAATGATGAGACTATTTCCACACTCCCCCTCAAGCGAGGTTGAAAATGTTATTCATCCCAAGCTTGGAAGTTAGCCCTTGGGAGCTTTTTCGAGGCAAGGCTTTGGTCAGGATGTCTACAACCTGTGACCTTGTTGGTGTGTAGAGCAG